TTTTTAACCAATAAAAATACAAATTAAAAGTCATGGGCTAAATCAGATTAAACTTGCTGCATGCCCATTGTGTTTATTGTGGTTTRAATAAAAACTTTGTCAACAATATTAAAATTAAAAGGGACATTTTTATTCAAAGTTAATGGGCTAATAGATTAAAAAATATGATCCCAATTTGATCACAACATTTTTAGAAAATTTGAATCCTTTGTTTATAATCTTGTGTTTGTCGGAAGATGTCTCGGGTGCTCCTGGCCGTGATCATGGCTGTAGTTCAGAGAAGAAAAACACAAAGAAGCTCAATCCTATTTCATCAGCTAGCTGTGGCGACTGCCTGCTTTGAACACTAATATTTCAAAGTGAATGCTTCAGCCACCAGGGGACACTTAGCTAAGAGCATCAAAGCAGCACCTAAAGGCAGAGGTCGGGACCGACGGTAGCTTGCCTCATGGCCGACTACATACCTGATCCCAAGATCCAACCAGATTCAAATGTTGTGCTTCGTGACCTCAAAGCCTCTGCGCAAGCTGTGTAAAATGACCCTTTGAAGGAAGAATCATCAGCTCCCCGTGGACAAAGCTGTCAGATTTCTTACTTCTTAAGCCCTATTTGCAGTTAAAAGATGAGAAAAGACCAACGGATATGTTGAGTCTACCTCAAACGTTCATCAATTTTCCTTTTTTTTCTAAGTGTTGAAACACCTGAAAATGCACAGCTGCATCAACATCTGCCTGTCAATCCTTTTGCAGTTTTCTGTGTGCCAGCATAGCTCATCAACAAAATGGGCAGCTTTAAAGTCCATTGTGCACACCGTACGTCTGTAGAAAAGGCAAACTAATGTTTCTAACGTAGCAGTGCCTTAAAATAATTTCTTGTTCTTAGTTTCATTAGTGAATGCTACCGCCTTGATTAAGAAGTCAACTGTAGCAGCATATAATTAATCAGAGGTTAGTCTTTTACACCTCGAAAGATGTGGCTTGCATTATTGCAAGTGCCAGGCAAAACAGGAGGTGCTTCACTTCTGCCTGCCTCTTAGATTTCCATATTTTCCTTTCCAAAGTAGATCTTTGAGCCAAATGCAAATATTCTCTGCAGTTTTGTGAAAATCCTCCATCTGTCYGCCTAAACACAGTTGTGCTTACACACCAACCGAGAGGGAACAAAAATGTCCTTCAGTGGCGTTTGTTAACATGTTGTTTTTACTTTTACAATTTTTTTTAAATGCAGTTAGGGGTAAAAACTTGCTAATTTATCAAGAACATCAAATAAGAAATGAGATGATTACWTAGGGACATAATAATCAAAGTAATTTAAATTATTACCCCATGTATTTCTAAAAACAGAGAAATTTAGATGCAATTTCTGTTTGATTTGTTTGGCCTGTTATTTAGTTTGAATCACTTGGCAAAAAGCATAAAATGTTTACTCCTATTTAAAGGGATCCCCGATTAGTTGTAACATTAAACTTTATTTGATAAACATATATTTTAACTTTTAAGTAAAGACTCTAAAAATACTGTAGGC